CAAACTTGCTCCTCCTTCCTCACCCTCGCCCCCACTGCTGTTCTCAGCTCAGGGCTCACTCTCTACATTACTGAGAAAATAGAAGTGCACAAGTCCACTGGCCTGGGATCTGTCCTGTGCTGTCTGAGTAGAGGGAGTGCTCCTCCTCAGCCCAGACCACCCCTCTGGTTGTGCCTTGATCCCCCCCCCCATTGCCTCTCACCTTCTCGAGGGCCTTGTCCCTTTGTTTCTCTCCTGTCTCTTCTGAATCTTCCAGCTTCTCTCTCTCTCTGCCCGATTACTGCCGTTAGCCTGCAGACATGACCTTAAAAATAAAACATCACCCCTTCAACCCACCTGTCTCTCCTGCTGCTTTCCCATTTCGCTTTTTACAACCAGCCTTGGGATATGTCTCCCATAGGAAGGGCAGTCGGCAGACCTGCAAAAGGTAGCAAGAAGAACACGACTCAGTAACTAGAAGAGGTTCGACTTCTCATGCACAGGAAGGGTGTGGTGATGTGTATGAGTAGATGATCGTGAGGACCAGTGGCCCCTGCTGCCAGATGCTCTGTTGGGGTGCAGAGGATGCAAGGACGGCTAACACTTTCTCTTCCCTATGAGTCCAGAAGTGCCAGAGACTTAGAGGAGAGGGAAGGAAGTCAAAGCACTAAGGGAGGTTAACTACCTCACCCCACCCTACCTCCACCCCAGGTACACAGACCCTCAGCTGGTTATAAATGACTGCTGAGATCATAGATTTTGGGATAACATCTTCTTTAGAAAGCCCCTGAAATTTACTGAGCCCTTGTTCTGTAAACTTTTGCTTTCAGCTGCCCACCCTGTGCCTTTGACTAGACTAGATCTTTTAGCCTGTGTAGTGATGATAGTAGGACTGAGGTCAGGCTGGCGGTTGGTGTTAGTACAGTCTTCCAAGAGCCATAACCTGGTTCCGTCAACACACTGATCCTTTGGGGAGCCTTTTGCAGCAATCAGAAACATGGCTCCCCTGGCTTACATGTTTCAGTGGCCACTTTTAAACTAAGGAAATGATCTCTTACTCTGCATCTATGCTGTAAGGTTGGGGTGATCTTGAGGAGGTAAAGCATTTTTTGTGAACACCTTTCACGTTTTGTATCTTTTAGGGATGGTGCCAGGCTGCCTGCAAGAACAAATGAGACTGGTGGGGGCTGGAATAAGTAAGGAGACAAATTATCATGTGCATCAGTGAGCTCCAGAGTGGGCAGCAGAGCGGGAACCACAGGTCATGATGACCCCAAGGGCCCAGGCCCCTTCTCTCTTCCTGCTCCACCATCTTCAGACTTGTGCTTGGGGCTTGTCCATGGTGCCTGCAGCTCCTGCTGTCTCTGTGCAGCAGGAAAGAGACAGAAAGTGAAGGACAAGAGGCTGCAGGGAACATCAGGCAAGTTAGTCTTCTTTAAGAAGCTCCCCCAGGACCTCCACCCCAGAGTCCCACTTTTATCTCACTGGTCAGAATGGGCTCCCATGGGCTTCTTAGCTACAGGGAAGTCTGAGGAGGTGCAAGTTTAAGTTTTCTAGGCTTTTTCTGAGAAGATGACAGGGGAAAATTGGGCAGTAGGTGCCTTTTGGGTAGCTCACAGCACTGCCACACCTCATGGAGCCTCCCTGAAGTGGAGGGTGGGGGTGAGGGATGGTTCTCAGCCTGGATGGCCATTGGCATTTCTGTAGAGCTTTTAAAATTAAAGCCTAGGAATCCTCAGACCAATTATGTTAGAATCTCTGGGTGGAGCACGACATCAGTAATTTTTAAAGATCTTCGAATGTGATCCCCTAATCCCATGACTAGGCATCTACCCAGAAGAAAAAAAAATCATTTTACCATAAAGACATTTGTGCTAGATTGTTTATTGCAACTCAATTTACAATTGCCAAGATGTGGAAACAACCCAAGTGCCCATCAACCCAGGAATGGATTAACAAGCTGTGGTATGTGTATACCATGGAAGACTATGCAGCCATAAAAAGATGGAAACCTCACATGTTTTATATTAACCTGGATGGAGCTGGAACACATTTTTCTTAGTAAAGTATCACAAGAATGGAAAAGCAAGTATCCAATGTACTCAATACTAATATGAAGCCAGTGGAAGAACTAATAATTGCCCACACAAGAGAAAAGCTCAATTCAATTTGGGGGAAGAGGAAATGAGAGAGGGGAGAAGAGGTAGAGAGGAGAGCTGAGGAAGAGGAGGGGAAAGGGGTGGGGAGGAGAGGGAGGGGGAAAGGGAGGGGATGGGAGGAGGGAGGTGGCTCGGCGTGCTCCCAACTAATGGGCACAATATAAGTGTATTCAGCACACCTCCTGGGTGAGAGCCAGAACTATAACAGGGATGTTACCTAACAAATGCAAACAGTGTAACCTAATCATTTGTACCCTCATATTAATCTGAAATAAAAATAAACAAATAAAATATTATGCTTTATGAGAGTAAAAAATAGAGACCTCCAGATGATTCTAACATGCAGCCAAGATCAAAGGCTGCCCTGAGCCTTCACTTTACCCTGGTTCTCAGGAACTGTAAAATGTTAGAGTTGAGCAGCCCTTAGTGATCTGGAAGAAGATTTGCTCCAGGTCAGATTTGTAATCAGTGAAGTGATGCCCCTCCCCCTCGGCCCCCCGCGGAGAGCAGCAGCCCCCCTCCAGGTTCCCACCCACTGCATCCAGCCAGACGCGGTGTGAGTGGCATAGCTGTTTGAGAGGATGAAACCGCGATCCAGTCAGCTCCGAAGGTGGAGGCGGGCAGTTACCCTTGGACTGCAGCTGCCTCTCCTCCACTCCAGTAATGACGCTCGGCCTGAAATCCAATTTGGGATGAGTGTGTAATTCAAATGTTTATTTAATCCAGAGCCACTTCTCAGTAAATAGCATGCTCAGAGGCTTGAATCACTAAGGCTGTCTTTACCCAAGGCTCGATTGCTAATCTGCTCCCCTACATTATCCACTGCGTGTGCGACTGCCAGAAAGCCCAGTGCTAAATGCCCTCATTCATTGGACCTTTGTCTTCGACATCCAAGCAGCTGCTCTGAGTCCCTGGTGGTGGCAATTTACATGGGACTTTCCAGACTGTTAGCATTCAAGTCAGCCTTATAGATTATCCATCCAAACTGAGGCTGGGGGAGGGGATAGGAGTGACTTGCCCAAGGTCACCTGGTCTATTCATTGCAGCATTGGGACAATAGCAACAGTCTTTAGGTTAAATCGATGGGATGTTTTAACAAAGCAGAAATCTAACAAATTTGACCGAAGATACAGTGGTGCCTAATTATTGCCCCTCAAATTTTCAGCATAAATAGTTAAATAATTCAGGACTTAAGCCCATGTTATGGGAATAACTGAGCTAGCAAAGGGAAAAGCAAATAATTCTGTGCTGTTCCTGAGCTGGGGCAGGTATTGCTGTTACCTTGGAAGCCCCTGGCAGCACCCAGCATGCGCCTGGCCCCTGGGGCTCCCCCTGGGTGCTTGTTGGGCTGAACTGTTCCCTGCCAGGCCTGTACTTGGCTGCCTGCTACTTGAAACACCTGCAGGACCGTGTTGTTACCAGCTATTGCAGTTAGAGCAAAGCAACAAGAAATCAACCATCTCCGGGATTTATGTGAAAAAGACTGGTGGTAGCTGGAAGTCATACCTAGACTGATGAGTGTTTTACGGTAATGTGCTCTCAAAGTTCAATTTCTCAAGTTCTCTAGGTGACGCAAAATGATTGATTCTGAAAAGGAACGCTGAAGAAATACATTGATTACTCTGAAGCAAGCGGACCATTAATTCCTGACCTTAAAATCTCTAAAATGTTTTAAAAGGAGTTGACTTAGCAGTTACTGCATTGCAT